GTTGTCGTTTCTTAGCAGGTCAGAATGCTTGAAACGGTATGTATGCAGAGCTCGATTGCATACTCTGTGTTTTAGATAACCGCGGTCGCCCACTGGAGCAAGTGATCGAGCTTCATAGTCTACGTTGTTCGGGGCGTGTGTTACGCATGTCAGCAAACAGATTCCCACGCGAGCGAAGTTCACCGAGGTATGCAGTGGGCGGAATAAAGCCAAGGGTAGTCAAGCTAAGACCTGGCACAAGGATGTGAAAACGATGAACCAGAGACTCGGTCACATAGGTCCCGTTAGGCTTCCTGGATGGATCCTCGGGATGATCGTAACCCATGGTTAGAAACTCTGAGTGATATGGCTGGTTGTCGCAAACAGTGGCGTTCGTGCATCTTCTCAGTTTCTTTGCTACCATAGTTACTAGAGTTCTCAATTTTCTCTTCGATTCTACCTTCAAACTTGCAGTATTCTCCTACTGCTTCATCAAAATGGGCAGCCAAAAGACAACTAAAATTTGCGCAAGAAAGTGCGTAGTTAATGGTTGTGTAAACTGAAACAGAAACTCTGTGTGTTGATCCAGGGGTTCACCTTCTTCTCCCTCCTTCAAAATAGGTCCACCTTGTATGCATTTCGAGTTTCGCAGCGACCACTGTATTGCTCTGTACGATGATGATGATAATTGCCCTGTATATTGACCACAGAGGTTCAATTACATTCCCCTCTTTCAAAATAGTTCCTGTCCACGTTATATATTTTCACCTACTTTCGGTACATCGTGATCTTAGCAGTGGTTGGTGAATTTAGCTTCACCGCCGCTGCTGTATGGTGATTATGATGACAGTGTGTTAAACCTTCAGAGCGATTGAAGAGTAGGGTCCATTGCGCTTACCTTGGGGACATAGAGGAGGGAGAGAAAGGAGTCGACTGACGGTTTTATTTAAACTCGTAACCTCCAGGTTGATGTGATGGTGACTTGATACGTTTGACAGGAAGCCATCCACCCACATCATCGTAAGGATTGACGAAAAATTGCTAATATCTAATGTGGTTTACCGCTCTGAGTCCCAAAACTTGCGTTTTCAGACTTTATAAAATAGGAAATTGTTCAATTTAACTGAAGGGAACCGCACCGAGCTTTGTTGATTCGGGTTAATGAATTAGCTCTACTGCTATACATGAGTGTGCCTCTTGTCGGTTTAGATTCTACTGTATCCTCTATTCTCGAGTGGGAACACAAGCACTTTTCTCCTTTTGATTGATTTGTAAGCCATTTTTGATTGTGAATTAATCCGTTGCCAAACTCTGAAGACAGTGGTATTTGGATAGTACATCTAGGTTAGTCAGCCTGTCAAAGTTTTCCAATGTATAACCGCCGTCGCAAGTTTTTGCTTAAATACACCAAACTGATATCTTATTGTGTGATGTCACATTTAAGGATATCACTTCAGAATTTCGCAAAAACCCTGAAATGTTTCAGTCTTCAGCATGTGACTGTTTCCTATGCAAATTTAATTTTCCCTCATTATATGTAGTATTCCGTGGTTACTGTTTCCAATTCTAACTCACGAATGTTTTTCTTTCCAGCGTTCTCCTTGAACATGTCAAAAGATAAACGGAGCCGTGATATGGTCCACGCGATAGACAAGGACGTTCGTTCGGGTAAAAGAGAAATGAATCGAAGTCAAATGGAACTTCAAAGGCAGGAAAAGTCACTCATATCAGAGATCAAAAAATATGCTCATCAAGGAGACAAGGCAATGTGCGCTCGATTGGCGCAGCAACTGATCTCTGTTCGTAAACACATGGCTCAAAACACACAAATGTCGGTGCAAATGTCACAGGTCGGTTGTCAAGCGCGAATGTGTGCAGCACAACAACGTCTAGTCAATATAAGCGCGAATACTAGCAAAACCTTGGCAGCGGTGAATAAAGTGAGTACGCTTATGCAGAATGCCCTTTTCCTGATGTATCTGTAGAATTCGTTCTTTCCCATCCACTTGCTTTTTGATATCATTCCAAGAGTGCAGCTCTCCATTTAGTTTTTGGACTTCTGCAAGCAATGCGCATAAGAAAGGTCTCAACCTGATTGACTTGAGATCCAAATACATCACTGTGTTTGGAAGTGGATGTCTCGGATTCCGAGGTGGCTATTTGTCCCGAACTCCCCTAAAAATACCCTCAAATGACTAAGCATCTCACAGGTCCTTCCGAGGATATCCCACCCATAACCTCCGCGTTGCGGAGATGTTTCCACCAATGTGGGAGGGCAAAGCCGAATACTCGGCACTTTGCACTATTGTAGTCAAACAAGAGGAGCTTGGTCAAAACCGTGCATCTCAAACCCCCGCTTT